GTGTGTGTGTGTGTGTGTGTGTGTGTGTGTGTGTGTGTGTGTGTGTGAGAGAGAGCAGAGCGTTGGCTGCTGTTACTGTAGGTGGGTGTTAGCATCGAGGCTAATGAACCCCATAGGGACTGAATAGGACTGCCTGTGGACATGTTAATGCTCAGTGAGTGTAGATGTATCCTGTAGGAGGAGGATAACACACACACACACACACACACACACACACACACACACACACACACAGTCAGTCAGAGAGGCCAGGTGTTTCCCTCCCTACGGTGGACTAACTTGTACTTATTGTGGCCGCAGGATAAACACATCTGAATTAATAATAACTGATATCTTCTTCTGTTTGACTTCTGAATAGACTCAAACTAACAAACTTCTCTGGCATTGTTCTAAATGTATACTTTCCAGAAACAACCAACACTATCTTATACAATATGTATGTGTGTGTGTATAGATATATATTCTTTTTTAGAGGGGCTATAACCAATATATATCTAATCACAAAATGAAATGGGTCAATCTGCAGCTCTGTTGAGCTTTACAGAGCTTCATGGTGAGTTTGAGCTCATTGTTTATCTGACCAGCTGCAACTTCACTGTTCTGGTCCACTCTCACCAGAGTGCATCTGTTTTCAGAGAGAAAGCTGTCAGAGCCGACTGCTCACTACCTGCTCAGCAGACACAGTTAGAGACCCACTGGTGAACACCGTGGAGCATTTAGCAGCTAAAGAGACAGATATTCATAGTTATAATAGTTGGAGGAGACCAAAAGCAGAGCTACAAGAGAGTGAGTAGTGAATGATGGTGTTGCTCCGTAACTGCTGGATGAGTAAATATGAAACCGTTTGCCATAAAGTTTGTACGATTTTGCCATATCAACCTAAATATTACCTCTTTTTTTTTTTTTTTAATTGAAAATTTGAAAATTCATTCTTGACCTGGAAAACATTAGTTGATAAAACAATTGGTAGGAGCTGGATTTCCTTAAAGCGCTCGGAACAAAATCCATCTACAACTCAATGGCACCTTGACAACACCTGCTGATCACCTGTGTGATACGATCAGAGGCTCCTAAAAGGACACGGGGGGGGGGGGGGGCCCTCTAATGTCAGAAAATAACCTTCACCCGGCCTCCGAGAAGCCGTAGGGCATCGTGAACGGAGGAAGCGATGCGAGGAGAAAACAGCAGCTCTTCTGTCTCTCCACCATCAGACACGCTGTAGAGAAAAGAGGAAGCTCTCTCTTTTCTCTACCACGTCTGTGTATCTGTACTATCAGCCTGTCATCCTCCTGGGATGGGAGGATGGAGGGGATGGAGGGGGAGGCAACGAAAGGCTGCAGGCTAATTAGGTTCTTATCTCCTCCACGCTCCTCTTCCTGTCCTCCTCCTCTCTAATCCTGGTGGGCAGCGTTCTGCCGCTCAACGCCTCGACAGTCACACACAGTGGGGGAATAATTGGTACAAGCAGCACCTCGCTGCCGAAACTTTATCAGTCACTCCGAGTGACACATTTTCTCCTCTTTCTCCGCTCCTTCCTCCTCCCAGAGTGCTTTCAGTCGGATTCAAAAAGCTCTTTATTCATTGTTGCGTCTCTTTCCTTCATCCCTTCGTTCTATCTGAGCTTCTTCCCATTCTGTCTTTCACTGACTAAATGACAGCTCTCTCTCTCTCTCTTTATGCCCTTTTTCCTCTAAAACGTTCCTCCTCGCTCCTGATCTCTCCCTCGTTCACTTCTTCCTGTCTTTGTCTCATGTTCTTCTGTGTCCATCAACCTGATGAGAAATGTCTTCCTGCTGCAGAACAGCCCGTTATTATGTGTTGTAGGTTACTTCATGGGAAGATGGGTAACTGCTTCTTCTGTCTGTCCCTGTAGACATGAGATATCATTACTGACCTTCAAAACTGTCAAACTGTCCTGCCTCTTTAAAAACCCTCTTTAACCCTCCTTCCTCTTTTCCTCTGTCCTGTCTCCTCTGCCCTGTCTCCTCGCTCTGTCCCTCTGCTCTCTAACGGTGTGTTGTGGCTGTCCTTCCTTCAGATGGATGTGGTCTATACCTTCCAGACGGGCCAGGCTCCGGTGCCCGGTGCCCTGCGCCGCCAGCCGTCCGTCGTCAGCCAGCACAATGACGCCACCGCCGCCAAAACTCTCTCTAGCCCCACCCACGTAGGGCTTAGCTCCTCCTACTCTCTCACCAACTCGGCCGGGGCCCCGCCCCCTGCTGCTGCTGCTGCTGCTGCTTCCTCCTCCACTGCAGGCAGTGAGTCGGTGACCGGAGGCCAGCTAACACCTCGCTTCACCCGGCTGGACTCTTTTTTTTTTTTTTTTGTTCTGCATGACTCACAACGCTAAAACACCGTCTCTGTCATCAGCCGCTGTCTGCACATCCTCAGCTAATCTGAAACATCTGAATGATCATCTGTGCTATTATTATCAATAACTGATGAAACATGATCTGACTGATGCGTCCAACTTGTTCGGGGTGATTAATGTAACAGGGAGTGTAGTTGGCACGTGACAGCCGCTGTGTCTGAACGGAAAAACTGTACTCACCTACATTTTGACTTTGGGAAGAGCTGAAACAACCTCTGAGAAGTAAAACTAGCATCATATTATGATACATATTTAATCATTACATAATTTCAGTTTAGGACCTGCAGGTCAAAAGACGTTGAGTAGTATTTTTCTATAGTGGGAACCAAGCCAAGCTGGCTGAAAACATTTAAAAGTGGTCCGCTGATGAAGTAGCAACAAATACGTCACATGTTATTGTTGAAAAATAGCCTAAAGCTCCACCGATCTCTGAGTTTGCTAATTTATATCGTCTACAGCTGTTTCACAATAAAAGCCTCACAAAGGGTTTTCCAGCAGAAAGCTTTTATTGTGAAGCAGGAAATGCTCAGTTTGCATTTGCAGTAATTAAAACATAAGCTGGACCTCTGAAACAGCTGTAGGGAAGCAATAATTAAGCAGTAATGAGACCCAGAGAGATTCTGTTTGAAGATGCTAAAGTCCTGACAGCTGCACACGCAGAGATATTTAAAGGAATAGTTCCACACACACTGTCTGAGAGTGAGATTAAGAGATGGATATTTATTTCACATGCGTGTGTCTGGTGTGGAGCTGGAGTCAGGACTTGGTTAGCCTAGCTTAGCATAAAGACTGAAAGCAGGGGGAAACCGCTAGCCGGGCTCTCAAAGTAAAACAAATGCACCTAACAAAGCTCGCTAAGTAACATGTCGTGTCATGTTTTGTCTGTACAAAACCGGTGAGAGAGTACAGAGGGACGTATCAACACATCGTTGGTCTAAATTGGTCGTTGGTCACAGCCATCTCTATTATAAACCATCTAAATCCACTAAAAGTGAACCTGCAGACGGCCTGATCACCTGATCCGTGTTTCCATCTCTGAACTCCACACTGTGCTTCTTACTTCACCTTCCTCCTGCTGCTGATCTTAATCTGCTTCTCCTCTTTTTTTTTTTTTTTAATTTATTTATTTTTTTTATTTTTATTTTTTTTTTAAATTATCCATCGTCACTTCCGTCTCAGCCTGCTGCCTCTCGTCCTCCTGCATGTTGTGGAGATTTAAACTCTTGAACATGCGTCTGTTAACCCTGATGTGACTTGCTGCCCGACGGGTCGACGAAAGATCACAACTGTTGGCCGACGAGAAGAGAAAGAAGCTTAAAAAAAATAATCCTGCTCTATTTTCTTTGTTGTTTTTTGTATTCTTCTTCTCTGAGGCGACAGCCTGGGCACCAAGATAACATTATGGGTTAATCCTGAGCAGGGTTAAAACTGTCAGGCTCAGCAAGTCTCATGGTTTAACAGCCAAGAGCTTTTTTTCCACGCATGTGTGTGTGTGTGTGTGCGCGCATGTGTGTGTGTGTGTCTGTGATGGTTGCATGTATGCTCTAAGCTGCAGTGCTCTGCCTGCAGCTCTCGTGTGGTTCAGTAATGGAGAGCTTTGAACTGCAGGGTTATTAATTATGATGAAGAGTGTCTGCTGGTGCATATAAATCAGTGTGATCAGCTGCAGCCTCTGTGGATTCATGACACAGGAAACGACTTAAGGCAGAGAGAAGAGAGCAGCTAGAGAACAAAATGATTCTGGCCCCGAGTGTGATTATAAATACTTAACAATGTGCATGTGTTTGTTGTGTTTCCCAAGTGTGTGTGTGTGTTGTTTACTGGGGATGGTTTGAACGTCTTCTGTACTGGTGACACCATCAGGGCTGAATTATTAGCTGCTAAAGCGAGCATCACACCCCAGAGGCCCCAGAAGTCAGTCTTCTTGCATGTAAATTGGCTGTTGGTATTGATACATATTTATATATGCATCAAAATTTGATTAATGGAAAATGTGTGAATTTGCACATTGCAATTATAGGCATAGTACACGAGTTAACACTGCTCACAGCGCTATTCCCTTATTGCTCACCAGCCACTGTGGCTAGTCATTTTTTTAAGTTATTTGCCACTCAGCATTTTCATTTGCCACCAGTGTGTTGTTGGTAAGTTACGTTTTATTTGATTAAAGTTGACTATTGTGAGATACAATTCGCTTGAAAATCTAGATTTTAAAACAATTTCAAATGTAAACGACCACTTTAAACACCCTGATCATAACTACATAACACGTATATCACTGCACTGATCAAATAATCAGCTCTGATGTTGTATGTTCGGCTCCTTTTGCATGACGACGTGCAGCTGATTAAGACAAAAGCATAAAAAACAGCTTATTTCTAAAGAGTACTAAAGAGTGAGTCATCTCGCTCCCTTCTCGTCTTTATCGAGAGTTGTCGCGAAAGACAATAGCGGAAGAATGGACGAACCTCATTTCAATGAGTGAATAATTTCAGATGCCTTTTGAGGAGACGACAATACTTTGTATTTATACTTTATGTAAATGCAGAATGTTCCACCCACCAAAGTGGCGAGTAAGTGTCACTGCGTTACCACCACTGCCGAATTCCACCCGCATTTAGCAGGTGGGCGGGTGCCAATGTCGAGAGATGTATGTATGTATATGAAATCAAAGATAATGTCAGCAAGATAATGAATCTGACTTATCATTTTTTCAATCTAATTTTGGTCTGAACCAAAAAAGTGTCGACGTTTAGTACCAATGCTTATGCTGCATTCACATGGACTCAGGCAGACGGTAGACGGTAAACTGGAAGTCATTTTGAATACCGGCCGCGGTAAACAGCATTGTCGTCCAAGGTGACATAATTTAAAACGGGATGTTAAGGAGCTCCCTCACACTGAAGAAAGTTTGCAGTCGAGTATTATTAAAGCTGCAACTTATAGCTTAAAGCTTATCTGGAATAATTACATAGAACAGTAGACAGAAAATAGTCTGCCTGTTTCCATGTGACTGCTGCATTAGTGTTTGAGGACACAGGAATACAGTTAAAAAATAACTGACTTCAATGATTTAAATCCTCCTTTTAATTAAAATCTTTTGTGTTTACTGCGTGTTGACCTGACTCATGTTCCCTCTGAGGACAGAAGAGTCCGTCCTCACAGACTGAACTTTAATTTGAGGTGTTTGTTTGTCAAAAAGCATTCTGGGTAATGTTAGAAATCATTAAGTGGCAGGAGGAAGGTTGAGGGAATGTGTCTAAATGATAAAGGGCTCCAGGATGTGGACGTCCGGTCCATCCTGTTTCAGATCGCGGTGTGTATTTCCTGGTTTGTGTCCCTTATCTCCAATAAAGATAAATCTCAATGTTCCAGTAAACAATCTGCTTCTAACGTTCAACCTGACAATGTCCGCGTGCACAAAGCTGCATGTTTTTACTAGTTCAGTGTGGAAGAGCTCGACTGGTCTGCACAGAGGCCTGACTTCAACACCAGCTAACACATTTGGGATGAGCTGGAACATGTCACCGATGCTCTTGTTAGGCCCTGACATCTGGTGGAAAGACTGAATCTAGAAGAGAGGAGAAAGCAGATTAAGGCTTTGGTATAACGTCTCTGACTTTGAGTCAAATTAACATAATTTGGGATATAAAAGTGTGTTTGACTTGTGTGTGATGTTGTGGTTTGATGCCCCTCCACATTCAGCCGCCTGCTGGTGACTCTTTTTTTTACCTTTTTGTGTTGATGTTTTGTGGCATTCAGTTTTGAGTTTTCCCACCATGTCCTCACCCAGCCGACCTCGTGTTAACGTTGTGTTTTTGTGGTTTTGCACCTCCTCGCCTGGATTCAGACACTCAACCCCCGCTGCCTGTTTGACATCACACCTTTCATTACAGCCTGTAGCGGTTGATTCGCTCGCTCCTCTTGACGCTTCTTTTTTTTGTTTCAGATTAAGGTGGTCAACGCGTTCCGTAGCTCCCTGTACCCGATGGAGAGCCCAGAGTCCCGTAGCTCCATCCACAGCTTCATGGCCCATCCTGAGTTCGTGCCCCTGTCCGAGGAGGAGGCTCGCACCCCCATCATCGAGGAGACTGGAGACGAGATCGACCCCCTCCCCAGCGCCTCCTCCGGGGCGACGGGAGGAGGAGAGCCGCCCAGCGCTTTCCCACGCAGCTGCGAGTCATCCATCTGAGCTCCTCCTCCTCTTCCTCCCTCCTCTTTATCAGTATCATCTGTCATCCCACCAACTGAACTGTCGCACTGAGGAGGGAAGTCGCTCTGCATCCCGTCATCCTGCACACACACACACACACATACATGCTTCACATCGTCTTCACCCCCCTGTCATTCCTGCCACATTGTGTCTTTCATACTGACTGTGGCATCATTCTGCCTGTAAGTTTGTTCCTCCACCAACATCACCCTACACACACACACACACACACACACACACACACACACACACACACACACACGTGTCAGAGTGGAGTCCAGAGTCTCCACCGTTGGAAGGCCCGTCTTTGTCCATTCATGTATATTTTTTACTCTATGATCCTTTTTTGAGAAGCATTTAAACTTCGTTGGGTTCGATCTTCGCGGGACTCGCAGCAGCATGTCGTGTTCTGTACTTGCTTCATTCCGGCGTGTCTCTCTCTCTCTCTCTCTCTCTCTCTCTCTCTCTCTCTCTCTCTCTCTCAAGCGGCACAGAACTTTTCAAAGAGTGCAGTGATTCTCGTGTACATACGCTTTTCCGCTCCTCTACACAGCTAACAGCCGGGGTTTTGGTGATCAGAAGATTTTTAGGCAAATGCAAAAATGTAACCTTTTTTTTTGTTTGTTTTTAAACCTCTGACGAATGTTAATTGATGATTCAAGCATCAGAGAATGTCTTGTGAGTTTGACACTACAGTGTTCAAGGTTCAACTGTTAAAAGAAATGTTCTTCCCTTTATCGTGTCTGTATGTGTTGGTTTTTCTCTTTTAATCAGCCGTGTTGCATGTGGAAGGACAGAATGTTTACTACCCCCCTAAAATATCCAACATGGCGGCGTCCAGAGAGGGCTGGCTCTCTGCTCAGCGGGGGTCCGACCTCATCTCATCCGGTCCGGGTTCTGGTTCTCTCTGCCCCCCCCACTACGTCCACAGTCTCGATAGGAAAACAGGAGCGTGGCTCTTGTTCTGTAGGATGCATGTTGTGTTTCATTCGTGTTGAGTCGCATGATAATTTAGGAATGAATATTTGGGATTCTGTTTCGACGACCTTATGTGTGTGTTAGTCTGCAGCAGCGTCATTTCAGAGCAACTTTAACTTCCTGTCTGTACGACTGAACTTCCTGTTAGCACTACGGGACAAAAACAGACCCATCAGTGTTCACATACTACAGTGGCGGTCTCCGTGCTCTGCGTGTGGTCTTAGATCTGACTCACCCATGAATAGGAGGGAGCTGGATCCGATCCCAGCTCTCATCGGGCAGACGGCGGGTTCTCCCAGTCGGCCTGTGGTGCCTTTCTTGCTGGTGTCACAGCAGAGAACACGAGGCCACAACATATGCTTAACTTTCAGCAGAAAGAAAGGATGCAGCCTTTAACTAGAACCTGAAATATTCCAGCTGCCGCTCCGCTCGTCGCCTGGATGACCTCGACGTTGGCTTCAGTTCATTTAGAGAAACAAAAAAGACAGAAACTAAAACCAGAATACTTCAGAGATGAGGGTTCGTATTCACTGTCTCAAGCTCTCTTGTCTCCTTCCTCCTCCCCTCCTCTGACAGTCTCATATTGAAGTGTGACAACCAATCAAAAGTGACAACCTGTGACCGTGACACTGTGAGGCGACCCCCCTCGCGAAACACTGCCCCACTGTGCCGCTAACTGTAATTTGGTTAAGAGTCGACTAAACATTTAGCTCACATCTTTCCGGATTGGACTCTCCAAACTGAGCCTGAACACTACTGCCATTCATCCCTGTGTGTCTTCAAAATAAAAGCCCTCCTTTAATCCTAGAGTTCGATCCATTCTGCTCGTTTAGATCTGGGTTACAGATGACCTCGTCCGACAGCTTGATTCTCGTGATGTCACATAAAAAAGGGTTAGACACTTAGAAAGGTATCCCAGGCTTATCTTGACTTCTCCCAGACACATCTCGAAGCTCTTCCTGGTGAATCCCTTGGTGTTCCCAGACCAGTTGGGATGTATAATCCTCGCAGTGTGTTCTGGGTCTGCTGGGGGGCTTCCTCCCAGTTAGACCAGTGTCCAGTATACGCCGACAGAGAGGTAAACCACTAACCAGAGCTCGTGACCATAGATCTGAATGTAGATCGACTGATGGATCGAGAGTCTCAGTTGGCAGAGCTCCAGTATCGATGAGTCTGTTTTGGGTCACGGTGCAGGACGTTCAGTCCGAACAGACAGGAAGTTGACGGGCCTCTGAACAGAGTCGGCACCGTCTTGTCTGCGTTTGAGACAAATCTAGGTACCAGTTCTCACGTTTCTCGTTCACTCGTTTGTCAGATTTTACGAACAGAAATGAAATCGGTGACGTCACACAGCCAGCAGCAGAGAAGATGTTTGATCTTCATCATCATCATCATGCATCTTACCACTGTGCTGTGTTTGATCGACAGGCGACAGACTGATGATGTCACCAGTCAGCCTGTAGAGTTAAATCCACCGTGTGTCCGCCGCTCAGTACTTCCTGCCTGCCGTTGTCCTGCAGATTACTGTCTTAAAAGAGGAAGGAATCATCTTCCAATCAGAAGCAGCGATGTGTGTAACCCCCTCTTAGTCTGACTAGCAGCCATCCACCTGTGTGCTACTACTGCCATATTTCCAACTTTTTGTCATGACTAGGTTCTTCCTCTCCCCTCTGATGAGCTTTTTCTATGTAACCCAGAGCCATATTTTATAGGTTGTCTGTATTGTTTTTTATCTCATTGTTATCGAGGTTTCCTTTGGACTTTCTCACCCCTCGACCCCCCCGGCCCCGGCCCTTTTCTCCAAACACGACCAAAAAGCAAGGAGAAAATCTTCAGTCGTCACTGCCGAACCAAGTTTAAAGGACCTCTACAATGTTTACATGAAAAGCAAGTGGGTGGCAGTTCGCCTGCACTTCTCTCATTCGACCGCTTCCCTTTCATTCCCTTGCTTTCCTGAATCTTAGAGTTACTATTTAACTGAATGGGGAATCTTTCTTGCATGGTTTTCATATAAAATTCAATGTTTTGCTCATTTTTTACAACTCTTCTGTATTTTTATATTAAGTACTTTTTAATACTTTGGAGATATATGAATATATATGTATAGGCTGAAGAGTTTGGTGACAGTACAGTACATGAATGAGAGGAATCTAACGTGGACTGTCTTTTTACAGCTCTCTAATATTTATGCCACGTGTGTCGTCTTGGTCACCTGATGTTAGGGCTCAGAAACCTGCAGTGACTTGTTTACTTCCTGTCGGCCGCTCAATTGGAATCTCAACAGTCTAGTCTCATCAGCCCCCTTTTACATGAGTATATTCACTTTATCTAACATGTGTCACACTACACGCTATGTGATTTCGCAGTTATCCGACTCCATTAGAGTGCAGCCAATGCAACGTGAATACAGCTAACTGTATCAAATATTAAATGGGAGTGTATAATTATTTATCCAACCTCTGGGTTTCTTTGTTTCTGTACTTTGAAGCCACTACGACTGATTTCTTTGAATGAGTGGACTGATGCTGTTTTCCGACTGACTGGTGCCGGAGCTGACGGCTTTGAAAGAGGATGACGGCTGTGTCCCGCTTCAGGCCCCGCCTCTGTAGAAAGGAGGCGTGGCCTGTGAAGGTGTGTCTTTACGGACACGAAACTTGAGAGAGCAACCTGAGGACCAAAGCAGAGCCGGACCGAATCATTAAAAAAAATTCCCTTTAGGTCTTTGAAGTGGACCCATGAAAAGAAAACCTGAACCCAACGAGCTTAATTCTTATTGTTTTTAAAAGAGGCCTGGTCCCTGTTTCTCAACAGCATCTTAAGACGATCTTAGTCCCGTTGAAGGTCTAAGGGCACCGATCCCAAAAAAAACAAAAAGGGACTCGAGGACAGTTCGGGCGCTTTCTCAAGCCAACAGTTGGTCCTTTTTAAACCAAAACAACCGGTACAGGCTGTTAGCAAGAGGCGGTCTCGGACTGCTACCAATCGAGCCCTATGCGGTTCGGTTGCAGTGAAGTGAACAAAGAAAGCAGGCTACCAGGTTAATATGATCGGGAGATGACCGACCAATGTTTCACTGACATCTGGGCCAAAGAGAACATGCAGAATATGCTGGATAAAGTCCAAAAATGTTTTTTAAAGTCACTCAAGATAAACTGGAGAAGAGATTTGTGCTCACAGCAGATCCGTTCCGACTCAAAGCAACAGCAGCATGTGTTGTTTTAATTGTTCTGCTTTAATTAGCGAACCAGACTAAATAGAAAACAGACCAAATAGTTGAATCAATGTTACTCTGATTTGGTCCAACCAAAAGTACTTCGGCTTGTGAAAGCGCCCTGAGACTATAACACAGCAGGGCCCTACAGGACCCGACCAGACTGAATATAATCTGAACCCAGCTCGTCTCGGGTCCAGTCTCGGTTGCTAGAAACCAGTTGGACCCATGAGAACCTTCGCTAACATGGGCCACTCTCTGAGTTCCTCTGTCAACGTCATGTCGGTATTTAAAGATGCTTTTAAATACTGTGACCAGCAGCTGTGATACCTTTAAGTTTTGGGGTTGCCATGAGGTTTAAATTTGGGTATTTTTCTTGTATTTCACAGCCAAACAGTTTTTGTTCATTTAAATGTTTGTCTTCTGTCATGGTTAACTGCTGCTGTACATGTTTGCATACAGAGGGGGGGTTAGGGGTCTGTCTCATTAACACTAGGGGCCCAAAAAGGTTCGGGGCGGCCCTAGACCTCAGGTTGAGTCGTCTAAATTTAGGCCAAGAACAAGAACTTCTTTTTTTTTTGGATCTGGTCATTAAAAGGAGGCGCAGCCTGTGACGGGACACAGCCGCAATCACAGATGACATTGTTACACCACCGACTTCAGAAACATTTCTCGGGAGAGAGAGCAGGACTGTTAAAGGCGCTCGTGACATCACTTCCTCTTCCTGCCGTCTAAACGAGACGCACCTTTTTCCAAAACGATGACGCGTTTTTTCCTCTTTGTTTTTGGGTCCAACTGCTGAACAGATATAGAACAGCTGTGCTCCTACAGTCAGTACAATGTAAATATTGTCATATAAGGGGATGAAGTGTACCTGCTGTGTGTGTCGGGTGACAGGAAATAGGACGGGGGGGCAGGCAGGCAATCAGCCAATCATCACCCAGCAAAGCTTTAAGGATGTTCTGCCAAAGTTGTTTCCTTTTCTTCTTCTGCACAAGTTTGTTTTTAGAAAGTTTGCAGTCACATGACCTCCTCCCCCCCCCCCCCCCCCTCCTGCCACCTGGATAAGATTGTCCCTCTGCTCTTGCCATGGCTTTTCTGTGGCTGTGGTGGTCGACTTTTGGACCGGTTGCCCTCGTATATCTCTCACACCAGGTGCACAGTACAGGCCCGCCATCGGAGACGCAGAGTTCAGAAGATCTCAGTTTTCCAACCGGACTTCTGTGTGGAGAAGGAACTCGCCTCTTATCCAGTCATTGTTGCATTTTTGACTGCTTCCTCCTCAGAGCACTGCCTTGTTTCTCTCAGAACAGCTTCCTGTTGTCGGATCTTAAGGAATTATTTGGAGAACCTTCACATCCACTTCAACAATCACGAAAAAATAAATGGTTCAAACAAACTGGAATATCACAAATGGAAAAGTCATAACCACTCAACGTATATATCTATATATGTGTGTATATATATATTATCTATATATTTATAGCTAGTATATATGTACATGTGTGTGTATATATTGGATACGAATATATATATATATATATATATATATATATATATATATATATAAAAAATTCGTTTCTCAGTTGAACTTCACTGCAAAAAAGACTGAAAAAGATTAGTTTTCTGTAATTGCTATGATACACAGTAATAGGCTGTTGGTGTTATTTTTGTATAAACATAATATCATCTATGTGGCATGCATGACATATATACAAAAATTTGGTGGTTTAAAGCAATATGTCCAACCTGGTGCGATTGGTTCTGTCGTGTTCTGTGTAGCCTAAAGCCACTCTGTGCGAAAAGATATATATATAAATATAAATATATAAATATAACAAAAAGAGAAACTGCATTTGGATAAAACTAACTGTTCAGTATATGTGTTCAATGTTCTGTGTTCTGCATGTTTTAGTATGGAATGAAACATCCCACAAATGTTGACTTGTTTTTACCAAATGAATCTCAAATACACGCCCCCAAACACATGCAACATTACACACACACACTTAGACACACACACACCTGTATTTGCACTGTGAGGTGAAACACACTGAGGAAATTAAAACTGTGTGACTTCTGATGGATGGATTGATGAAAGATGGAAGATTCTTCTTCTCTTTTTTTTTTTTGTTCCCATCGTCTCATTTATCCAGAAACTGAATAACTTGTAAAGGATCTGTCGGCTCATCCTTCACTGTTTCATCCTCCCGTCCTCAAACGCACACAAACGGAGAGATTTTAGGATTCTCCTGAACTCATCACCCACTCATCTGTGCCGTGAGAGGAGGAGGAGGAGGAGGAGGGAGACGATGACAGTTAAACAGGCCTGAAACATTCAGGTGGGCTGCTGCTCTGCAGGGGTCATCATCTCACCAATCACATCCATTGATCTCCATGATCCATTATCCTCCTGCTTCTCTCTGCTGCTCCAGCTTTTGGGAGAAAAAGGGGGGATAATGGAGTTTGTTGCTCACCTGAAAAAATGTCTGATCGTGTTGGAGCGAGACCGATATGTCGGCTGATTTTATTTGTCACAGATAAATCAGTGTATGGATCAATATGTCGGCTGATTTTATTTGTCACAGATAAATCAGTGTATGGATCAATATGTCGGCTGATAGGACATTTTAATTTAGAAGTTTAGTTTGTCCACCAGAGTGAACTGTAGTGTGTTTGGCTGCAAATAAGAATTCATTTCAATATTGATCATTCTTCCCAATTGTTTTTGGATTTATCAATATATAGTTTTGTCTAAAATGTGGCAAATGACTCCATGTGTTCAAAACCCAAAGATATTCAGTGTATCTTCATATGTGATGAATAAAAGCAGCGTTAGAGAAGCTAAAATCCAAAAAAAGTTTGACATTGATTATCAAAATAGTTGCAGATTAATTGATTGACAGAAAATTAACACGAACACCTATTTTGACTTATCATTTTAGCTCCAGTGAAAATATCCGCTCATTACAATTCTTTAATAGCCAAATTTACGTGATCTTTATAAAAACGTGTTTCCGTATTCATGTGTTCAAACTGATTTTATCGATCGGGCTCTAGTTCACGTCTCCGTCAGACGGCTGAGAGCAGCGTTGTGATGTGACGACACATTTGAATCTGATTATTCACTGCCAAAAAAACGTTTTAATCCTGCCGGGATTTAAAAGTCTAAAACGGCACAAAAACCACAAGACACCAAGAAAAAAACTGCCGAAGCCACAAAATCTCCTCTTTAGATTTCTATTCTATTTCTATTCCTACATCTCTAAATCAAGCGGGATTAGATTTTCTCTCTTTTGATGGCAATACGCTAGCAGTTTCCCCCTGATTCCAGTCTTTGTGCTAAGCTATGCTAAACATGGTCTTGTCTTATCTCTGACTCGGACACAGGAAAGACGGAGAACAAGAGTATTTCATGAAATGTATTAAACGGTACGAGGATTTAAAGAACAGCGAGTGATAATCTACCAGAGTACATCGAGTCAGTTTATCTGTTGGATACAAACTTCTGACTTCATCGTAACGTAACAGTTCTCTTTAGATTAGAAATCTGTATCACATAACCTAACAAATGTATTCGTTGACCTTTTGGTTTTTCTTTCGGCTGTAGAAATGTCCGTCATGGCCGCTGTGTTTTCAGCGTTTAACGTTTTGCATCGATGTGTGAGTGAATGTTGGACTTTGTGGTCACGTTAAAGTGCAACCGAGTGTGTTGAGACGCTTGGATTCAAGAAACACTGAGACCATGAATCCAAGTTTTTGGTTTGGACCTCAACCATTCAGCTATCGGTTCATTTATAGTTTATATTTTCTGTACATTTTATTCCTCACGGACGTCTAAATGTCGTTTCAAAGCCTTCTGATGAGGACAAAGTGAATCCTTTATTCATTTGAGTTTAGCGTCAAAGTAGTCAAAATATTTCTTTGGTCTGGACTCAAATATCTCAACAACTGTTTGACGGATTGTCATTAAATTTCGTTAAGACATTCATGTTCCCCAGAGGATGAATCCGTCTGACTTTGGTGATTCGCTGACTCTTCCTCTAGCGCCATCATGAGGTTGATAAATCATTTCTCAGACGCGCCATCATCAGGTCAAAGTCTTCATTTTGTTTCCCATCAGCCTGCTAGTTAGTTAGTGCTTTTGCGTTATGTAAACTAAGATGGTAAATATTCTGCTAAACATCAGCACGTTAGCATACTGGCGTTAGCATTTAGCTCAAAGTGACTTGACCTCCATGTCTTCAGTCGTCCTGTCTGGCAGATTCTGAGCCTCACGGTGATTTGTTTGGGAGACAAAATAAAACTTCCTGTGCTTCCCTAAGAATGTGTGTGTGCATGTGTGTGTGTGTGTCACTCTCATCCTGTCCCTTTCGATCAAACATCCTCCTCCTGTTTGCTTCAATCTATGCAACAGAATCCTCCAGTTTGGCTCCAGTGGTTCATCTGGTTTCTCACTTTCTCTCCCTCACACTCTCACTCTGTCCGCTCGTCTCTCGTCTCTTTATCTGCTTTTTATTTTTCAGTTCTTTCTACAAACAGAACCACGATACCTGTACATTGATGTGTGTATGTATGTGTGTGTGTGTGTGTGTGTGTGTGTGTCATGTTGTTTTCTTTACTCTTTTGTAAGATATGATCATGTGGAATGCCTTTGGTCTTAGTGTCATGTCGTTTGAACTTAAGCTGAACAAAAGATGATAATCAAGCAACTGAGTAAAAGTTGTCACATAAGTATATATATATAATATATATAATATATATAAATATATACAAATCTATATCCATCAAATAAAGCCATTGGAATTTGAAATACATCCGTGTCAATTTGTGATTTTTTTGGAAAGATTTATTTTTACAGATTTTTAATTTACTTATTTAGATTATTTTTTTTCTTTTACGTACTGAATGAATGGCTTCTTCTGGGAGAGGAATGACCATCACGCCTCATAAATCATTATTATTATCATTGAATAACTTTGAACTGGAAATCCCAGAATGCTTTAGTCAAGAGCAACAGTTTGAATACTTTTAGACTTCTTGTCCTTTAAGAGAGCAGCTTCAAGAGATTATGATGAAGTATTAAAGCAGGACATATTGTGCTCGTTAGGCTTGTGTTCTGGGTTTCTACCAGAACATGTTTACATGCTTTAATGTTTTAAAACAAACACCTAATTGTTCTCATACTGTCTGTCTGAATATACCTGTATTCACCGTCTCTATCTGAACCGTCGGTCTGCTCTGATAGAAATATGCCACACCTCAGACTGTGGTGTTATGTTTTAATGAGCCTGCATGTGACGTATAAAGAGGAGCCAGATCTCATTGGCTTGCTGAGTCAATGTTTTATGATTTAGGGAAACCACAATAATCTGACTGGGTTGACCCAAATGTGTGAACAAGCACAATAGTTTTTCATATGTCCAATTTAAGGTTTAATATTCCTTATTCTCAACAAATCCTATGAAAAGACCTCAACCAACAGTGACTACAAGTATATACACACATATATACAGTGTATATACAAATATATGTATGGATAGGTATTGTGTAGTTTTCAAAAGTCTGATGTGATACTTCCAGGCCAGCCAAAACATAAAATCTCTCCAGCGTGTCCTGGGTCTAACCCAGGGGCCTCTTACCGGTTGGACGTTCACAGAAACTGTCTATAAAGTTGTGAAAAGTCTGAAGTGTTTCTGTTTTCAGGTATGTTTTTGTCGAGAGTGAATCAAGAGTTCAGAAAGTATCTATTATTTTCACAGAGAGGTGGTTGAAGGCCACGATTACCAGCAGAGAACTTTCTGTGCAGGATTCAAACCCAGAAATCACATTAATGTGCCGGACGTCTTCGGTCATCACTACGTTAGCATGTAAACAGCTGGGATCAGTCATGGTGACAACATAATGAGCAATAATACTCCTGTAGGCCATTAAATGCCAGATATAGATATTCTTAATGTCCACAGGTCCTTCCTCTAGTGATTAACAAAAAGCACTGATGATGTGAGTTCTAATCCACCAGGACAAAAAAGTTTATTTCATCCGACCTTTCCCGAATTTGAGCTTTTTCTTATAAAGATTCTGGATATTTGTACCTCTTCATTACTGTAAGAGGTACAGTCTCTGTGGAGGGAGCATCACTGTTTGTCTGAAGTGACAGATGACATGATCAACCTTTGATAAAAGGTCACGAGGTAATATGGCTTAGCTGTAAAGGTTGTCTGGTGAACGCACTCCGAAGAAAAGGGGTTGGTCATGTATTGAGAAGAAGATGGCCGCACGCTAAGCTCGATGTTTCGGCCACACTTGGTGCTTTTCAAGGCAAGATTAATACATGTGTATTAATTATTACATAGTCAGTTTCAATCAAAACGGCCCTTGAGGAGGAATAGACCCGATTCTAAAAGCCGCGGATCTTAACAGACTGAAAGAGAGATCTGGTAAACTGACACACAGATCTGAGACCTGCAGCAACACAACGGGAGACTAACAGACCTGATTAGACTGAATATCATGAGGATCTGGCCTGACCCTGGTTCTGGGTCAGGTCTCGGTGTCAAGGCACCAATCGGACCTCTCCTCGGGACAAAAGAGCCAACTAAAAGAGCTGCTAATGAGGGGAACTGGACATTTGAAACTGCTATACATATACATATATACAGTATATACCAGCACCGTATGTATATACATACCTGTATGTACCTCCTCTAGATGTTAATGACTCCATGATCTTTCCTTTGGAGCCATTGTCAGGGCACACTTGTCATCTTTAGCTCTGTTACTGGTCAGGCTCTTAGAATATAGTGGCTGTAATGAACAGCTCCACCTCTAGGGAGCGCTGTATATCAGTAATTTATACATATCAAGACAAATATGTCTTTAGTCTCCTGCAGATCTGGTGAAACCTTCTTCATCAGCTGCTCAGTGCAGCACTGCCACCACGTGGACACTCGCTGCTTTACACCAGACGGGCCTCCTGCTGTAGAGCACCAGATGAACTAATTAATGCATCATTATAATCCAGTAATATAATGTAGATATATATATATATATATATGATTCTGAAATGGGCCATTCTGCATGAGTTTATATTTAACGTAAATACTATATGTACTAAAAAATCTGAGTAGTGCAGATAAGTGATTTGAAACTAAATCAAAGCAGCTTAATTTGATAAAAAGGAAAAAGAAAAGTAGTGTAACATCCTGTGAAATGCTTAATTTAAATGAACATAATATTGTTTTATTCATCACGACCAGTGATGTTTTCCACACTTACTCTAAAACGTGTCAGAAGGTGTTTCTGAGTTGTATGAATACAGGCTCTGTGTCGGGCTTTGTGCTTTCATGCTGTGAGACATATTTCCCTCCATCTGCTGATTAGTTTCTTCTCTTTTTCTTTTCCTTCTCACCAGATCTCTCTTTCTTCTCTGTCCATCGTCGTTCATTTACTCTCTAATGGCTTAAATCACTTGTCCTCGCGGCTTCTCTCCGCCCACGAGCCTCCGGCGGCAGCCTTCGTTCGTCACGGAGGGGATTGAGTCCTGGAAGGTGTTGTCAAGACGACTGAGTTTCTAACGGTGACTGTGATGACACCGCGGCAACCAGGGACTTCACTTTACCGGCGGTTCGTTAGTGGAGGAGGTGGAGGAGGAGGAGGTGGAGGAGGAGGTGGAGGTGGTGGTTTCAATGTGAAGGAGCTCCAGGCAACAAGCTTCTCAACCACAGAAAGAACTGCGTGTCCACACAAGTTTGTTCACACTTTCTATGACGTCAATGTCAACTCATTATGAACATATACCACCTTATAATCGGGTTATAGTACTATATATCATAGTTATAGGCACTCTACAATATGAACATGCTTTATAACTATACTCATAACTCCTTGTGAAGCATTTTATAATGACTTATGGTCAAGAATCATAATATTTCTTAATTGCTGGTCTCTACAAGGGTCATAGTTCATTACAATTTCCATAGTTGTATTATTTGTATGATGCATCATAATCACGTTATGATGCATTATAATGTGATTATAAGTTACTTTAAATGGTCATTATTTGCTTTAAGTCGGGTAAAAAAATATGAAACCTATGCAAGAACAACACACAAAGAATTGTAAAATTAATGTTTACTTTACTTAAAACAAACAATGACCACTAGAGTAACTGTAATCACATTCTAATGCATCATAACGGCATTATAATGTATTATACAAAGATTAGAAGTAACAAAAATCAAATTAATGTTTATTTAAAAGCGAACAATGACCACTTATAGAATAAGTTATGATCACATTATAATGTATTATAACAGTGTTCATAATGAATTGATGATTTATTATAGTGCATTACAACTATGACCAGCAATTGTAAAGTATTATGATTATTGACCTAATAAGTCTAAAATGTTTTATCATGATTAGTGATTATTTTCGATAAAGCATTATGGATATTAATGATTGCTTACAGCTATAATCATCCAGTGCTATAGGCAGATTATAATGCATTAAATATCAGTATAGTAAACAGTATGTATGTATTATAAGTATGTTTATAGTGATTGGCGTCATACAAAGTGCTACCAAAAGTTTAAACCTGAGCTGACAGTTTGCTGACGCTCAGTTTATCTTCACTGACTCACTGCCGTGTGTTTGAACCCTCAAACATCAATAAAAACCCATTTTTATAAATTCCTCTTTGTCAGACTCCTGAATCTCTCCGAGAGGAACCGGATGGATTAGACCAGAAAATAGAAAAATGATAATCCCTCAATTGAATTTCATCCTCCTTTTCAAAAACACCTGCTTATGTAAAGAGTCATGTGCGAGTGTGTAAACCCCCCCCCCCGCCCCTGTCACACCGAGGTGCAGCAGGCTGCTTCGGATTGTATCCTCACAAATTACCCGGAGAATGTTTGATTTCTTTTGCAGACACAAGAATCACGTGTCAGAGAGATGATGGCGGTGCTGACGTTAGTTTCACAAGCAAATCAAACGCCCCACTTTGAGTCTGTTGAGAGTCTTAATTCTGTGGGAGGTGTGTGTGTGTGTGTGTGTGTGTGTGTGTGTGTGTGTGTGTGTGTGTGTGTGTGTGTCAGGGGGCTTTATAAAAAGGTCTGGAGGTCGAACCTGAAGTCAGTTTAGTGTCTGATCATTAGAGGAGCTGCTGTCACCTATAAGGTCAATGTAAGTAGAGAGATCATAACTAAACGAGTGTGTGTGATTGTGATTTATTTTAGTTTAGTTATTTTAGTTACTTCTGTAATCTGTGTTTTCTTATATTCTGTTAAGAGTTACTTCTGTAAATGTGGTGATGAATGTTCAACGTGTTTGTCTGTGAGGAACAAACTGCTTTCAGGTCCTCCGGCGTTTAGGAAAATGATTCTCAGAAACATGCAGAAAACAACACACATTGACTGTTAAACATCTGGCCCGGGAGTTTTAGCGCCCTGGAAGAAGTTGAAACATTTAAAAATATATGCGTAGCTTTTTTCTTTTTGCAGATTTAGTATATTTACATTCAATGGAGGAGGATATTCATCCTTTCTCAGGCTTGAAACAGTCAAGTTGTGTTTGTCATTGTTACTAAAGGACAACACTGAGGTTTTGTGCAGAAAAATGGAAGAAATGGATGAAAATTTGGGCCAAGAAACTTGTAAGGAGCTTCTCTTTACAGGCACTTATTTATGAACGAATATTTATTATCCTGACTCTTCTATTTAACGTGTTTCTTGCCGTTCTTTCTTCCAGAAGATGCAGACGTCACTCCGGCCGGTGCAGTGGCTCGCTGTCATGCTTCTCGTTGTCTTCACAACCAGCCAGTGTCAACAAAATGAGAGGTGAGACGCTCGTTCCCGCCTAATTTTATCGTTTTTAAGTGGTGCAAAGAACTGAATCATTTAGTTAATTAGTAAAAGTAGCAGTGGGAAAATGTTTAATGTGCATCAGCTGTGGCTTAAAGGAATACTTTGAAATATACGGAGATACAGAATCACAGCAAAACAACAAAATGTCTACAAAGAAAAAACTATTTCTTGCTCCCAAAAAGAAGGAAAACATCACAGCTCACCTCACTTGTGCTACAAATTGACTCTAACGGTTGAAAATATATTTTGCATTAAAGCATCCAGATTCAGTTTTTTTTCTGTGTAGCTGAGAACATTAACAAAAGAAAGTTTCTCCCTCATTTAATTTTTCAGAGAAATGTAAAACTGATGAAATGTGATTTATAGAAATATCACTTTGTGTATGTATGTGGGGGATGTTTGATTCATGTCCGCTGATGTTTTTGAAATTACAAACTTTGAGCAACATTCATTTCGATAGATGGTTCTCAAATTATCAAACACTTCCATTACATTTCTATTTTTACAGTTAAAGCTCAAACTGTTTTAACGGGTACATATCATTGCACTGTCACTGTCTAAATGAATCCTATACATGCTGTATACACTGTATATAATCACCTATTCAATAGTTATCTATTTGCATTGTTTATATTGTTTACAACTTACAGAAACACTTGTCTAGACATTTCATTTCTGTTGTTTGTCTGGTGCTTATATACATTTGTATGTATACACCTATTTTTCCACTTACTTGTGTACATAATAGTCCTGCCTATTCTTTACCTTTATTTGTCCTTTTTTGGGGTTCTTGTTTTTAGCTTTTAATTTCTATTTAACTACATTTAAAGAATGAAAGTGTGATGTCTGACCTGTACTGAGGGTGCACCGATCTCTGTCCTCCCTGCAGGCGCCGAGCTGTGACCGAACACCAGCTGATGCACGACCGCGGCCGGAACATCCAGAGTCTCAAGAGACTCATCTGGCTGTCCAGCGCCATCGAGGGTCTCCACACGGCCCAGACTCGGTCTTCTGATTTCAGCCCGTCAAAGGTCCGGAACCTGGCTCTGAATCCAGCGCTGGTCCCTGCTGCTGGGAACCCCCAGCCCGACCGGGTGCAGAGCCTCCTGAGAGACTTCTTTAATCCCTACCTGACTCAACAGCAAGACAGAGAGGCCTAACATCCCTTTAATGCACACACATGAACCCTCTGTACACATAGATATAATAAAAATAATGATTGGTGTCCATCGTTTGTCTTTAGACAACCTGTGAGCTGCAGACGTGTCCAAATGTCTCCAAGAGTTAAAATCAGATCAGTATGAAGAGAATTATTTTAATTTGATGTGGTGTCATAATTGTTCGGTGTTAACTTCAATGTTACTATGGCACACTGATGATAATAACATTAAAACAAATGGCAATAATGGATAGCAATCTCTTAAAATGTGAAACCAGCTTTCACCTTGATTAAAAAAGTACAAAATAACATTACAGTTGTTCTCCATCTCAGCAAGACACGATCTCGCAAGATCTTGTGTTTGCAAATGCTAATTAATTTTCTTTTAACTGTGGAAATATATAATGTTACTTCAAAAAGAAATATAAATACATCATGCAAATATAACACATTTTGCTTTCATGTGTGTGAATTAATATTAACATTAGTTGGGCACGTTGTCACTTTGCATGGCAGCCTTGGTGTGTATGTATGTGTGTGAAAGGGTGAATGTTGACATGAAGTTGAAAGCGCTTTGAGTGGTCAAGTACATTTACCATTAGGAAGTGTAAACCATTTCAAACCATTGACAGCTTGTAATGTGTTATCTTTTGTAAAAGTGTATTTTAGGTTCAAGATGCAATTAAATAAATGTAAATACTGCATTTAACCGTACGTAACATGTTAGAACAGAAGCAGTGTGTACTAAAAGTAAAAAATAAAAAGTATGCAGTTTGAAACGCAGTTCGTGTCCCTGCCTTCACTCTTCAGCCTTTTCCATCCTACCCGGGAGACAGAGCTGCTTAAAATCCTCTCAAGGGGTTTGCGTAGTAGCTACAACCCCACGTGAAACAGCAAGCAAGTGAAGTATTTCATCTGTTGTAAAGCCACGTTTAAAGTAGTCTTCAATGTACTCACGATCCATTTATATGTCAAATGTAGGGTAACTGCCAAAGAGCTGCTTCTATGACTGTTGTGTTTAAGTATCTTATAATTTCGACTTTCTATCTCATAATTTCAACTTTCTATCTCATAATTATGACTTTTTATCTCATAATATCGACTTACCATTTGGACATTTTTATTATCAAGTCTAACTTTTCATCTTTTTTATTATTATTTGTAATTTTGTTTATTTATTTATTTGTAATTTTTTTATTCATTTTTGCTGACTTTCTATCTCATATTTTTATTGTCAAGTCTAACTATTCATCTTTTTTATTATTATTATTATTTGTAATTTTGTTTATTTATTTATTTGTAATTTTTTTATTCATTTTTGCTGACTTTCTATCTCATATTTTTATTATCAAGTCTAACTATTCATCTTTTTTTATATATATTTTTATTTTTATTCAATTATTTATATATAAATATATTTTTTTGCTGCAGAAATGGGCTTCCATAGTGCAAACAGTCGTCTCACAAAAAAAAAAAAGAAAAGGAAACTACGCGAGATTTACGTGATGGCTAACGTGAACGAACGTGAACTAGCTTGCTGTGACAACCACAGTGACAGTCACCGGGTCGCGGTGATCCACCTCCAGCTTGGAACGTCCCTGCGGTGGTCTAACTGTCATAGAGAGCGACTCTAAACACTATCCGCCCACAGAGGGGTCCTGTCTTCCGGATCCTCGAAGCGCCCTCGGCTCTCGTCCTTTAATCGGCCAGGTTAGTCAGTGTTACATCCGTCAGTTAGCTGTCTTCGGGGTAAGCTAATCAAGCTAAGTTAAAGTAGCCGCAATCACCAGGTGAGGTGTCAGTAGTACGCTCGGACTTCGTCAATGTATTTTAATGGGCGGTGGTATTTTCAGTCATGTGAATATGAAGAAGTGATAACAAGCCTAACAGCAAGCGAGTAGACCGGAAACGTCCACTCGTGACTGAAGTCTTCCGTAGCTACCAGCTAGCAGCTAATGCTAATCCTCAGCAGCAGCGGTACTGATGTGGAACTAGCATAGCTAGCATGCTAGCTAGCTGCGAGTATGCTAGGTAGCATTAGCAGACCGCCGAGGCGGGTTGTTGTTTTGCAGTCGTAATTAGCTCATGTTCTTGCTGACAGTCACAATAAATAGTTTAGTAACACAGACGGGATTCAACGGAGTGAATCTTTCACACTGTCTTTGATTTGTTTAGCAACAGTTAGCTGATTATAACCCTGTGAATGTCGGCATGTAACGGTGTTTGGTATTCATGTATTCGCAGATGTTTGTAGTCACGTGGTTGGTACTCTGCTGATATAATGAGGGTACCATCAATAACACGCGTGACAACAGTTCAAGGCATTTTATTACCCTTTTGTTTGGAATGTAACCAGTACATTTACTCAAGTACTGTACTTAAGTATAGTTTGAAATACTTGTACTTTACTGGAGTATTTCCTTTTTGTGTTACTTTATACTTCTACACTAAAAATTCTGAGAGGAATATTGAAGTTCTTACTTTACTACATTTGTTTGATAACTTTAGTTACTCTGTAGATTCAGATTAATAACTCATAAACATAAAATGTATGAGGTGTGATTATTATTGCATATAAACTTTGTTTTGTTTTGTTTTTGTATAACATTGACCTAGCGTTAGTAGTAAAGTGCTGCTTCTAAGAATTTATGCTATGTAAAAAGGGAAGTTATAATATGTTTAATGTTCAGTCTACATCTTGGATTTAATGTTTTATTGCTATTTATTTATTTCTATGTGCATTCCTCTTTGAAAAGATTATTTTTGAACTTAATTGATTACATACATCTACATAAGAATACGTCAATAATTATTATCAATATTTTAATATACATTAATTTGAAATTGGCCATTCTGTATATCGTGTACTTTTGTATTTAAAGTACATTTTGTTGTAAAATTCCTTCCATGTGAGGATTAGCTGCTTTTTAGCCATTTCTGTCATAATAATAAAATAATCATTGGGTTCTAGCTTTAGTAAAATGCTTCATGGGTTTTGTGAAGATGTGTAAATGCAGTATATTGTGATATTTCCACACGACAGTATTGTGATATTGGGCTCTTGTTTTCTTAGGTTTCGTCCAGCCTCATCCGGCCCCACTGTGGATCTTTAGCCCCTCCGGCAGGACAGTGGCAGAGGCAGAGGCAGAGCCATCGGGGACCAGAGCAGCAGGCAGCAGGGCTCCATGAGTGCGACGGGGCAGCAGCAGCAAGGTGGGGGCCTGCGTTCTCGCCGAAGCCTCGTCCGGGACAAGGACCCCGGGCCGGGCATGGGCATGGAGGCGGCCTGCTGGCTGGCCCCTGGAGTGCTGCGCAGGCTGATCGAGCTGCCCGCACCCCCGCTGTCCCGACACCAGCTGAAGAGACTGGAGGAGCACAGGTAACACTCCTCTGAGACACACTGAAGTAAAGCCTGATGTGGAGTTATTTAATGTTATGTGCAGTGAGTTTATCTAGTTCTATGGTTTAGCAGCGGAATGTACAGAACTAATGAGTACTGCCCCAAGGTGAAGCAGTCTGATAGCGATGTGTTCAGTGTGCGTTGAGCTACGTCGTCTGTGGCTCTGCTGTGTGAAAGAGATGCTGTTGAAGCTCAAAGGGACAAAGCCCACTCCTGAGCGCTCCGAGTAACAGAAATGATTCAGAGCACTGTTCTTCTGTGTGCCTTTGCTCAAGTGTAAATGTACAGGCTTCGACTTGCTGGGAGCGCGTTACCAAAACAACAACCAGGATTTACTTTTTGTTCTTAACTGTAACTTGCTACAACTTGTTCAGACAAAGTTCTCAGCTCGCTATTTCGATTTTTCAGCCCCAATGAAAGTCAAAAACAGTCCCATTAATCATCACCCAGCCCTTTGTCGTGACTCCCATATTGTGCCGTCACCATCATTGTTTCTGGGAGGCAGGTAAACCTCCAGAGTGAAGTCAGCAGATCCTCACCTGGCTGTTGTTGGTCTCTGCAGGTACAGCAGTGCTGGACGCTCCCTGCTGGAGCCTCTGATGCAGCGCTACTGGGAATGGTTGGTGGGACGAGTCCCTTCCTGGATCGCCCCCAACCTCATCACCATCATCGGCCTGGCCACCAACGTCTTCACCACCCTCGTGCTCATTTATTACTGTCCAACCGCCACTGAGCAGGTTAGTCATCACTCTGAAACAACGTTATGGCGCCCGGCTTCATGTTAAAACATATTTAACACGCTAGAGTTCATGTTTTCCTTCACTCATTAGAGAAGAAATTTAAATGAATTGATGAATAAGCTGTATTTTTGACACAGCAGGAGCAGCAGAGTATTGAGAATATAAATTTGCATTTACGGCAAATCAAAAACAAAAGCAGATCATAAAACACGGAGGCTTCTTGTTCAAATATTAGGAAATTACAAAGGAGATGAAGGTCTGGTTTAAAACTAAACAAACAAAAGTGTGGGTTCGAGTTAGAGGTCAGAGTTTAATCCTCAGTTTGATCCAGCAGGTGAAGGTGCTTCTGCCTCTACTGTCTGCAGGGATCCCAGTGTTGTTGTTCATTGACGGTTTCTTTATAATTAGGGCCGTCATTGCCCTGAGCTTCTTTCTGTACAGCTCAGCAGTCCGCTCGGGGCGTATCGGATTACGGGGACGTCTGATTAATAATTGAGCAGTTCAGGGAAACAGATCTTAATCACAGCAAGAGACCCCTGATTATACAGACCACGGGTATTCAATTAAAAAAAGGTCCAGTTAGAGAGAAATGTTCTCATGCAAAGGTCACAGTAATGTCTAAGTTGCGCTATGATTTAGTTCCATGTACATCTCTGAAGATATGAGACGTACTGGTAGTGACCCACCAGATGAACTGTGATTTCTTTGTTTTGCTGAAGGCCTTTCTGGGTCACCTGACTTTAAAGAGATCTGATTCACTCGTTGTGTTTCTGCTGCATACGACCGTGTTATTTCAGGCTCCTCTCTGGGCGTACCTGCTGTGTGCCGTGGGTCTGTTCATCTACCAGTCATTGGACGCCATCGACGGGAAGCAGGCCAGACGCACCAATAGCAGCTCTCCGCTGGGCGAGCTGTTTGACCACGGCTGTGACTCCCTCTCCACGGGTCAGTTTCCTCACGTTTGACTTTGTTCCTCTGTGTCTCAGTGAATCTAAAGTCTTTTTTTTGTGTTTGTCTCTGCAGTGTTTGTGGTGTTGGGAACCAGTATAGCAGTGCAGATGGGCACCAACCCTGACTGGATGTTCTTCTGCTGCTTCGCTGGGATGTTCATGTTCTACTGTGCTCACTGGCAGACATACGTGTCAGGAACGCTGCGCTTCGGCATGTGAGTCAACTAAGCTGCTTGTTTTTCCTTTGTGTTTTGGTGCATAACAATCAAAATGAACTAAGAGTAAATAAAAAACAAAAGAGTAAGTACTGCAAAAGTCAAGAACCATGAAAATAGAATAAATAAAACATAACAATAAGAATATGTACAGTATATCTGTTTTAAAATATTGATCATCCTTCTATCTGAATCATTGTTATTATACGTATGCATTGATTCATTCAGTCACTAAATATTCAAAAAGGCAAACATGTTTTTTGCCAAATTCAGACTCGTGTAAGTTTGAGTAAAACAGACTAGAAGCATGAAGTGCCGAAAAAAGGACATTAAAGCATCGACTGGTCGTTAATCACCTCAACAAACATTGATTGCATTAATGTTTTAGAGGTTTTCATTATTGAATCTGAAAACACATTTTGTTCACTTGATTCATTAAAGAGAGGATGATCTAGTTACACTTCAGCGGTAGTGATTTCATTAGCAGTTACTAAGAGTTGATGTATTCTGTGTGTAGATTTGACATGACAGAGGTGCAGATCTGTCTAGCAGGATTACAGATGCTCACAGCCACTGTGGGCCCCTGTCTGTGGAACATGATGGTAAACCTCCTGGCTGTTGCTGCATTGCTGCCTGCTGCCTGCTTCCACAATGGCCGCTGACCTCCGTGGAGTCATGTGGCTTAAAAACCACTTATTGAGACACTTTAATAAAACAAAAAAAGAATCAAAAGATGAATTGATAATGTAAATATTTGACAGTTGCAGCCGTAACAAACAGAAATCCAGACAGTCTTCTCTGTCTGTCTGAGAGTGAGGTGTTTAAATCTCACGTCTCTGTGGTTAGGTTAGCCTAGCTTAGCACAACACGCTGTATCTCATTACAAAACGTGAGCGACTTCCTGGAGTCTCTGGTTATCAAAGAGAGGAGCCAGTGAAATATCACTGACTGCATCTTAAATGCAGCTACTTTCCTGTTTAATCTTCCGAATCAGACTTCCCCTGAGCTCCAGGTCCAGCGGCGTGTTGTGGAGGAAGGCCGCAGGACGACGGTGTGCTGCTGGTAGACGTCACTAATCCTCACTGTCCACTCTCTGCTTTCTCCTCCCACTCAGCATTGATGTGACTGAGGTGCAAATCTTCATTATAATCATGTATTTGCTGGCCGCCGTGGGAGGATCTGCTTTTTGGCAGTCACTGGTAATTGTGATCGGTTCTACTTCCTACAGATTTACACTAATGACATTGATGATGAATTATGTAATGACGTTTGTGTTATGTTGCTCTAACGTTCTTGTTTTGACTGTTGTCGCTGTAATTGTTATCAGGAATACAAAGACTTTTACCGTTCTCTAATGTTTTCATTGTGAACTCACAGCTGGAAGTTTGATCAACACATCTTTTACTGTGAATGTTTCAGTTGTATTGTTCCTTAATGTTAGTGTGTTTTTGTTAATGTCTTGATTGGTAGATTCCGATCCTAAATATCCAGATGAAAATGGTTCCGGCCATCTGCACTTTCTTGGGAGCCATCTTCTCCTGCACTAATTACTTCAGAGTTATTTTTACGGGAGGAGTGGGCAAAAATGGATCAACAATAGCAGTAAGTCTGGAAGCTTCATCAGAGCATGTCGGAGGGTGGATATTGTTGTGTTTTTTGTGGGGGGGGGGGGGGGGGGGTTTACATGATAAATCAGAAAAGTAATGCTTTCAAGTTACTTCACTAACTACGTTTACGTACTCAAAATATTCCCTTATTCCGAAAAAGACAAAATTCCTAGTAGCCATGTTTAAAAAGCTAATGCATATAAATATATTCCGGTGCAGCCGTGAGAACACACCGTCCCTATTTCATTCCTTCAACACCCTCTTTAAAAGGTGGGCGTTGAGATATGTGTGCATATCCAAAAAACCTCTTGATATCCAAATCTTTCACAAGTTTTAAAAGTAGGTGGGCTTCTTCTTCTGGGCAGACGTGTGGGCTTTCTCTTTAGGGCGTTCATCTCTGCAAACAGTTGGCTGGTTGGTTTGTGTTTAACGAGTGTTCAACGCACAGAGCCGACCGTTAACAGGCAGGAGGCTGTGAGGCACAAATTGCGGTTAAAAACAAACCATTGAGACTCATCTTCTGAAGAATGATCCTAAACCAGAATAATATCTGCATACCCCACATGTCAAATGCTCCACTCTGAATAAGGCCTAATTTAGAACATCCAAACACAATATTCTGTTTACATGACCCGGATCAAATTCAGAAAGTTGTCATATTCGTAATATTAGTTGAATATTAGTGTGCATGTAAACGTAGTCATTGTGAGATGTGTGCACATGCAGGCGGGTAGAAAACAAACCAGAATAACAGAGATTTGTTTTAGTGCCGTAACCTGCACACATTGCAAAAGTAATGGGTGGAAATGTTCTATAACCAGAGAGGGAAACCTCGTTAGTGAATAGTTATATAGTGTAACAAAGAAACAGCAGGGGATGTTAGCGAGATAGAGCAACAGATACTTTATCAACGGGTAACTTTACTCGTACTGTTTCTCAAATAATGACAAAGGTTATCTGTTATTTTCTTATCTTCCTTCAAAGATCTTGTAGCAATAACATTTTTCCCCTTTGATTATTTGTACACATAGACTGGCTGATATAAATACTATATAAATACTATACTACCTTCAGTGTCACGTCACACCTCCCTGCACCCAGTTGTCAGAGCCGTTAGCAGGTTTCTCATGTCTACATTTTATTCGCTGTAGTTAATTAACATTCGTTGTGTTATTCATCTAAACTAAACATTTTAAATCGTCTGGTTGAACATTCATAACAAGCCTGTGTCTGTTTGCACCACACGCTATCGTTTTGATATTTGGAAAGCAAAGAGTACAGCAGTACAGCGGTCATTGCTGAATATTGTGGTACTGAATATTTCCCTGTATGAACGTAACACGCTTGAGTTGATTTATTCTAATTCTTATGGATCAAATACCAGCAGTTCAAAGTTACAGATTCTGTTATAGTATACTGCATACTATACTAGCTGTACTGCTGTACATTAACCGTCTGTGTCTTTGTGTCTGTGTCCTCAGGGAACCAGCGTCCTCTCTCCAGTCTTACATATTGGTTCAGTTATAATTTTGGCGATGATGATATACAAGAAGTCTGCTGTCCAGCTCTTCGAGAAACATCCGTGTCTGTATATCCTGGCGTTTGGCTGCGTCTCCGCCAAAATCACCAATAAATTAGTTGTAAGTCAAACCTACTTTTTCCTCTGTGTCGAAGAGAAGTCGGACATGATGCTGTGGTCACTTATGGAATAATCTAAAAATCATTTCGTACTGCCTGAAGTGACATGGTAGCTGCTTTATCCTGGAGGACTGGTGTTCATGAGTAAAATATGAAAAAGTTGAGGTCCATGTTGTGTTTAATGTATAGACTTTATATAAGAAGTGGAAGTAGTCACCGTAGATAGCTTTTAGAACCTTAAATAATGGCTTTTCATGCGTTTGATAAAGCCATCTCATTAAGAGACATTAAAGTACAAATTACACCATAAGTATAAGAGATAAGCTTAAAAACAAAATGTACTTTGCAGTAGGGAAAGAGTGATGATGTCTCAGAGAATGTACGTCTTTTAGAGCCTCACAGGTTTGATACAGAAAGTTTGCACAGTTTACACAACGTGTGAGTAAAAGTGGAACATAACTTCCCTTATTCTCATATCTTTTAACTTCAACGTTAGCAGACATTTTACTTCCCGGACATTAAAGCTGTTGTGTTTTCTTTTCTTCTGTCTGTCCTCAGGTGGCACATATGACAAAAAGTGAGATGCATCTCCACGATTTAGCCTTCCTGGGACCAGGACTCCTGTTCCTGGATCAGTATTTCAATAGTTTTATTGACGAGTACCTGGTGCTGTGGATTGCATTGGTAAGTACACAGATGATGCTAGCATTGGATACATTACTATAAAGTAATCTAGTTGTATAATAAGTGTGTGATTGGTTTGATGCCTTTTCATTATTTAAAGCTCAGAAAAATCAACCTCATTCTGGAAATGCAGTGCGCTGCGTAATATTCGCAGTAATATAAAAGTATTTAGGACAAAAACAACTAACAAATATTGATGTGTGAATTAATCGCATGAAGAAAAGGCCTTTAGTCCAAATTCTGAAATATATAGTTGAGCACTATGACACTAAATTCTGAGCTACTGAGTAAAACAAAGCCCAGCGTATGAAATACTAAGTTGTGATTTTGTAAGTAAAATGGTGAATATGATGAGACGATGAGTCCCTACTAACGCGTGTCCTCGGCGTGTGCAGAGCTCCTGTTTGACGACCGTTTCTTTCTCCTCCCGCAGATCATTTCCTTCTTCGACTTGGTGCGTTACTGTGTCAGTGTTTGCAACCAGATTGCCTGCCATCTTCACATTTTTGTTTTCAAAATCAAGCCTTGTTCATTGCTCAGTTCAGCTCCTCACTGAGGACACGCCGGCCACGACTGACTCTGCCCCCCCTCTTTAGTCGCACTCATCTGTTCTCCTCTGTTTTCCACGTAGAGATTCAGGGATGACGTAATGTGTAAAAAAAAAAAAAAAAAAAAAAGAAAGAAATAGTATGTGCTTCTGCCAACTGAATGTGTGGACAAATAATATATACTGAGAAACCGGAGTATTACTGTCGTTGTTTCTTTTTCACCGGTGCAGAACTTGAATTTGTAACCAGCTTCATTTTCTGAATTCTCCTTCTGAGAAACTCACGAACGAGTATCTGAGGAGAGCACAGGTGCTACTCGCTATGTTCAAGGAGAGAGACGTCGATGTGTTCACAACCGTTTGTGTGCAAAGAAAATGTAAAAAGGAAGCGAATCAAACTCTTTGCTTTTCATGAATATAATTTTTGTAATATTTGCATAACTTTACCTTTTTGCTATTGTAAATACCAAACTGTTACAGATGTCTGTGCTTTTCTTTTAAGTTAAAAAAAATCCTGCTTTGACACGTTTGTAAACCTTCATGTATATGATTTTATAACACAACTTTATCTCCTGCACATTAATACGAAACTGTGCAACTGTTCAGCAAAAACAAATTGTTTTTGGAGGAAACTCATTGTCGACAAAAACGATGTTATTGAACAAAGCTGTGAAATATTCACTGCCAATGTTTTTCATTTCGTTTGTCAAATGAAACCACTTGTTTGTTTTCGGCGCTTTTCTCCGTGTAGGGAATTTTCTGTTTACTGTCTCGTCTAATGTTGTTTTCTAATATACGATTAAGACACGTCATGCACTAGAGGGAAAGACTCGACAGTCTCGGTCACATTTATTTCACACATCTAACAAAACCTCAGCGTTCGGCTCACTAGCAGTCAGATGCAGCTCGCTGGTACGAAGGTTCACCTCACATTTTACCACATTGTGCAGTTGATTGGTACAAAATTCAACATGTTTAACGCTTATTTTGTCACTCGGCTTTCTGTCACATCTGCAACTTGTATTGTTATTATTCTATATTTTACTTATTGTCAACAAATCCCATGAAAAGACCAAAACCGACAATGTGTCCATCTCACCTCACAAGAATGTAGTTATTCAGTAATGTCCTGAAGCCGCTGGTCACTGTAGATTCTTATCAAATGTCACTCAAACAAGGAGGAAATGGTGCTTTTGTTTGGAACTATTTTCATTGGCGGATTAATCCGTGTGTGTGTGTGTGTGTGTGTGTGTGTGTGTGTGTGTGTGTGTGTG